AAGGTTTCTCAGCAACGTCATAGAAGAATCTTTTCTGGTTCTCTAAAGAGTCTTGCAGTGAATGGTTCTTAAAAGAATCATTTTTTTCCTAGTATGAAGAACGTTTTAAAAATCTAAAGAACCATTTTGCACTAAAAAACCTTTTGTGGAATGGAACGGTTCCATGGACGTCATTCTTTTTGGAACCATAATGCCAATGAAGAACCTCTATTTTTAAAAGTGCAAGCCTGTTCGTAAAAGTGCAAGAGTGTTCTTAGAAAGACAAATAGAAAGATGCACATGTTGGTAATACATTACAAAAAGGTTTGATTTGTTAACATGAACTAACAATGAACAGCACTTGTTAATATTAATCTCAACATTTAGTAATGCATTTTTCAGATCAAAAGTTGTGTGTTGTGAACTGATATGAACAAAGGTTAATAATTGCCATAAGAATATATTACTCATTGTTAATTCATGTTAGTTAATGCATTACCATAATGTAAAAAAATGGTAGTGTTACCCATAAAAAAAAAAAAAAGGGTTACACTTTAAGGTGTCCTTGTTACAGTGTAATTACACAATAATGTACTGAGTAATAATGACTAACGAAATGTATTTACTATATGGGGTTTGATTTAGGGATTTAGGCTTGTAATTATGGATAGTTTACAGATATTACTATATAAGTGCATGTAACAAAGAAACTGTAAAACAAATGTTACCCAAAAGTGTTTAAATGCAACATTCCATTTTCGAGTCCGTTGTTAATGCAATAACTATACGCAATACAATACAGTATGTTAATGCAACCTTTCTGCATGTTCTTGAGGAACAATGGTCCTCCACATCATGGTCTTGGCAAAGCAGTCTATTTCATGGACCACACATTGGCACATTTACCAGGGCCTTATAAAAACAAAGGAGAAAAAAGATACATTCACACACAGCAACATCTGAAGGCCCATACCAAATCAATTGATTGATGGGACAAACGGTGGCTGATGAGGGTGCGCAAGCGAGTGGATGGGTCCGTTCCTTCTCCTGGATACTTCCAGGAGAAATGACAAAGTGATCTCTGCCCTCTCTCTACATTAATTATCAACTGCTGTCTCAAAGGCACTTTGTCAAAGAGATAAATGAAACAACATCGGGACAGGAACAAATCAGACTGCCTAGGAGGGGAGGGAGGAGTTTAGCCTGGGGCCCCTCTTTCTCTCCTGGGGCTCCTGTCCTTCTCCTCTTGGGAGGCAGGATCCAGGATGAATGGGTCTTCATGGGAAATGTGTCGAGGGCTGTTTTCAAAATGTGCTGTGGGTTGTTTAAAAGACAAGAAAATTTACTCAAATTGATATAATTTATATCTAGAGTGCATACAGACTGTTAAACAAATGGTGTGGAATTTACTTTGAAACACTTTTCACTCAGAAATTGCTGCTAAATGTAAAAAATTATTCCAAAGAAACGACAAGCAACACTGAATTAAAGATGAAATTTTGAAGTAGAAAAACTGAAAAAGTATTTTCTTATAAAATGCACTCCAATAATCATTCTCCCAATTTCATCAACCAGATGTATTTGTAAAAATTATTCATATTGAGTGTCATAGTGACAGCACTTATGAATAGATTTAAAAAGGGCACAGGCGGAAAATGAAAACTATAATTTACATTCACTTTAATCCAAAAGTTGAAGAACTGGCAAAGCGATAAAAAAGACCATAGAAGAGTATGAACTGATTACTTAAAGTCTTTAGGAGCTTTATATGAGAATAAATGTGACAGCCCGGATAGTATTAAAGCAATGAATTCAAGGGTGTGAGATGAATAAGAAGCGTTAGAGAATGGGTGCTCCTGTAAGCCATTACATCCATCTGGGTGGGAGGGAGGGACCTCTGACGTACGTCACAGATGCTTGCTATCAGCAGTGGTCCAGAAGGCGTAACACAGAGACAGAAAGAAAGAGAGGGTGACAGTCTAGAAGAGACAGGGTGAGAAAGAGAAGAAGAAACTGACAGCTTCTTAGATCTAAAAAGTGGTCGAAGATCTGTTTACTGGGTTTCTGAATTAAAAGGTGAGTTTTTGAAAGCCAGAGTGATAAAAAGGAACGGGTCAAGATGCCTAATTTTGCTGGAACCTGGAAGATGAAGAGCAGTGAAAATTTTGAAGAACTCCTCAAAGCGCTCGGTAAGTGATCCACTCACTTCATCCTTCACTACGTGTGTAGTATGTGATTACTATAGACTGTTTTATCCTGTTGTTTAGGCCCCGTCCAGAATCCTCTCTTTGTCTGCTGTTTAGTCCTCAATAGCATATTCATGGATTAACTAGTGTGAAGAGTAAATCACTATTATTTTCGGGCTGTTGGACTACGTCTTCAGTCTCTTTTGTTTCTTTGGCAGCATGAGTTGCCTGGATTCTTATTCAAATTCTCAAAGCTACAGAGACAGTGCAGAGATTTAGCAAGGGCACAAAAATGCACCAACAAAGTGGATTTGATTATTATTTTTTATTAAATAAAATGTAATTGTTTCATACCAAGAATAATAATAAAAATGTTGTGCTGCCCAGAAATTATGATTTGATCAAACCGTCTGAACAATTATTATAATTTTTTTTTTACATTAAGGTTCAAAAGGCTGGGGTAAGGTTTTTGGTTTTGAAAAAAGTCTCTAAAGAAGGCTTCACTTATTTGATCAAAACTACAGTAAAAATAGTACTTTGGTGAAATATTCTATTATAAAACATTTTTTTTTTTACAATTTTAATTTGTTTAGAAATATAATTTATATATGTAATGGCAACGCTGAATTTTCAGCAGCCATTACTCCAATCTTCAGTGTCACGATCCTTCAGAAATCATGCTGATTTGAAACATTACTTATTATTATCAATGTTGAAAACAGCTAAACAGCTATGTTTTGTAGAAGCGGTGATGCATGATTTCAGTATTTGTTGATGAGAGTTCAAAGGACAGCACTTATTTCAATATTTCAAATATTTTTATACTGACTTTTAAATGGTAGTGAGCATTTTTTTCTGATATTTGAAAAAAAGGTGAGTGAAACTGATGCCTACAATTCTCCAGAAAACTGCTAAGCATAAAGAGAGACATTTCTGTGAACTGAAATGTTTATGAAAGTGATCAGACAGTTAATCACCCTAATAGTTTACACTACAATGCTGTGCCAAAAATGCAGTTAGCCCTTGTAGTTTCAGCATTGTCCATGTAGGCACTGCACAAGACCAAGAGCCGTGGCATTCCTTCCAGTCAACACCCTGTCATTGCAGCTCCTTATTTGCAACATCTGCTGATAACAATCTACTCTGTGTCATATTGTGAACTGATATGGAAATTTTTTATTAACTAAAATTAACAAAGGTTAATAAGTACTGTAAGATGTATTTCTCATTGTTAATTCATGTTAGTTAGTGCACTACCACAATGTTAACAAACTGTAAAATGTTACCCATACAAAAAAAAAACTGGGTTACACTTGGTTTTAATTAACAATATGTACTTACTATATAGGGTTAGGATTAAGGTGTGGTTTATGGTTACCTACTTGTAATTATGGATCATTTATGGTTATTATAGTAAGTACATGTAACAGGTAACAAGAAATCTGTATAAAATGTTACCTAAAACTGCTTAAATGCAACAATCTATTTTCTAGTCCATTGTTAATGCATTAACTATACACAATACAATACAGTATGTTAATGCAACCTTTCTGCATGTTCTTGAGGAACAATGGTCCTCCACATCATGGTCTTGGCAAAGCAGTCTATTTCATGGACCACACATTGGCACATTTACCAGGGCCTTATAAAAACAAAGGAGAAAAAAGATACATTCACACACAGCAACATCTGAAGGCCCATACCAAATCAATTGATTGATGGGACAAACGGTGGCTGATGAGGGTGCGCAAGCGAGTGGATGGGTCCGTTCCTTCTCCTGGATACTTCCAGGAGAAATGACAAAGTGATCTCTGCCCTCTCTCTACATTAATTATCAACTGCTGTCTCAAAGGCACTTTGTCAAAGAGATAAATGAACCAACATCGGGACAGGAACAAATCAGACTGCCTAGGAGGGGAGGGAGGAGTTTAGCCTGGGGCCCCTCTTTCTCTCCTGGGGCTCCTGTCCTTCTCCTCTTGGGAGGCAGGATCCAGGATGAATGGGTCTTCATGGGAAATGTGTCGAGGGCTGTTTTCAAAATGTGCTGTGGGTTGTTTAAAAGACAAGAAAATTTACTCAAATTGATATAATTTATATCTAGAGTGCATACAGACTGTTAAACAAATGGTGTGGAATTTACTTTGAAACACTTTTCACTCAGAAATTGCTGCTAAATGTAAAAAATAATTCCAAAGAAACGACAAGCAACACTGAATTAAAGATGAAATTTTGAAGTAGAAAAACTGAAAAAGTATTTTCTTATAAAATGCACTCCAATAATCATTCTCCCAATTTCATCAACCAGATGTATTTGTAAAAATTATTCATATTGAGTGTCATAGTGACAGCACTTATGAATAGATTTAAAAAGGGCACAGGCGGAAAATGAAAACTATAATTTACATTCACTTTAATCCAAAAGTTGAAGAACTGGCAAAGCGATAAAAAAGACCATAGAAGAGTATGAACTGATTACTTAAAGTCTTTAGGAGCTTTATATGAGAATAAATGTGACAGCCCGGATAGTATTAAAGCAATGAATTCAAGGGTGTGAGATGAATAAGAAGCGTTAGAGAATGGGTGCTCCTGTAAGCCATTACATCCATCTGGGTGGGAGGGAGGGACCTCTGACGTACGTCACAGATGCTTGCTATCAGCAGTGGTCCAGAAGGCGTAACACAGAGACAGAAAGAAAGAGAGGGTGACAGTCTAGAAGAGACAGGGTGAGAAAGAGAAGAAGAAACTGACAGCTTCTTAGATCTAAAAAGTGGTCGAAGATCTGTTTACTGGGTTTCTGAATTAAAAGGTGAGTTTTTGAAAGCCAGAGTGATAAAAAAGGAACGGGTCAAGATGCCTAATTTTGCTGGAACCTGGAAGATGAAGAGCAGTGAAAATTTTGAAGAACTCCTCAAAGCGCTCGGTAAGTGATCCACTCACTTCATCCTTCATTACGTGTGTAGTATGTGATTACTATAGACTGTTTTATCCTGTTGTTTAGGCCCCGTCCAGAATCCTCTCTTTGTCTGCTGTTTAGTCTTCAATAGCATATTCATGGATTAACTAGTGTGAAGAGTAAATCACTATTATTTTCGGGCTGTTGGACTACGTCTTCAGTCTCTTTTGTTTCTTTGGCAGCATGAGTTGCCTGGATTCTTATTCAAATTCTCAAAGCTACAGAGACAGTGCAGAGATTTAGCAAGGGCACAAAAATGCACCAACAAAGTGGATTTGATTATTATTTTTTATTAAATAAAATGTAATTGTTTCATACCAAGAATAATAATAAAAATGTTGTGCTGCCCAGAAATTATGATTTGATCAAACCGTCTGAACAATTATTATAATTTTTTTTTACATTAAGGTTCAAAAGGCTGGGGTAAGGTTTTTGTTTTTGAAAAAAGTCTCTAAAGAAGGCTTCACTTATTTGATCAAAACTACAGTAAAAATAGTACTTTGGTGAAATATTCTATTATAAAACATTTTTTTTTTTACAATTTTAATTTGTTTAGAAATATAATTTATATATGTAATGGCAACGCTGAATTTTCAGCAGCCATTACTCCAATCTTCAGTGTCACGATCCTTCAGAAATCATGCTGATTTGAAACATTACTTATTATTATCAATGTTGAAAACAGCTATGTTTAATATTTTTGTAGAAGCGGTGATGCATGATTTCAGTATTCGTTGATGAGAGTTCAAAGGACAGCACTTATTTCAAATATACAAATATTTTTATACTGACTTTTAAATGGTAGTGAGCATTTTTTTCTGATATTTGAAAAAAAGGTGAGTGAAACTGATGCCTACAATTCTCCAGAAAACTGCTAAGCATAAAGAGAGACATTTCTGTGAACTGAAATGTTTATGAAAGTGATCAGACAGTTAATCACCCTAATAGTTTACACTACAATGCTGTGCCATGTTGATGAGAGTTCAAAGGACAGCACTTATTTCAAATATACAAATATTTTTATACTGACTTTTAAATGGTAGTGAGCATTTTTTTCTGATATTTGAAAAAAAAGGTGAGTGAAACTGATGCCTACAATTCTCCAGAAAACTGCTAAGCATAAAGAGAGACATTTCTGTGAACTGAAATGTTTATGAAAGTGATCAGACAGTTAATCACCCTAATAGTTTACACTACAATGCTGTGCCAAAAATGCAGTTAGCCCTTGTAGTTTCAGCATTGTCCATGTAGGCACTGCACAAGACCAAGAGCCGTGGCATTCCTTCCAGTCAACACCCTGTCATTGCAGCTCCTTATTTGCAACATCTGCTGATAACAATCTACTCTGTGGTGTCTTGATAACTATTTATGCAGAAAATATGGCATACCGTGGCTGTATGAATGTTTAACTTGCCCCAGTTATGACTAGGAAAAATGAACGTCAGTCACGTTAAAAACATGAAAACCACACAAGTGAAAGCAGGTCAGATATTCCCAGTATCTATTGCAGCAGATTCAAATAAATGATGCAAGTATGCCATCTTGAGGGAATTAGAGCGAGATATACAAGTGGATAATTACAGCACAGTCAAGAGCAATGCATGCTTCGTGGAGTTATTCGATCATTTGTTGTATATAATAATCTTTTCATTTGGAGACTGCCTCAGTGACATAAAACTGAAAACATTTACAGAAGCAAAGTGGCGAATTTGACAACTCATGTGGCGTAATTAGATGTTTTGTGTAATGCAGGGGTGAACGCTATGCTGAGGAAGGTGGCCTGTGCTGCAGCCTCTAAACCCCACGTGGAGATCCGCCAGAACGGCGAACAGTTCTACATCAAAACCTCCACCACTGTGAGGACCACAGAAATTAACTTCCAGATAGGACAAGAGTTCAATGAGGAGACCGTAGATGGGCGCAAGTGCAAGGTAATACAGCTTGGAAGGTTTCTCTTTTTTTGATCAGTATCTTTATTCTTTAGAAATGAGAATACAGCATACAGATCTCTCTCTCTCTCTCTCTATATATATAGGCCTACACACACACACACACACACACACATTTATATATATATATAGCCCATATTTACATTGGAACATTTTCTTGCCGTTTACTGTTGCGGAAGGACAGCATTTAACGAAATTGCTTAAAAAAAGTAAAATTTCAATAAATACATCTTTGGTTTTAATATTTTTTTTAGTTTTATAAAATCAGTAAGGTACTCGAGGCCGGGCTGTATCGTGAATAAATCACATCTGAAGGGGTTGCAGGCACTCTGCTTTGCGTCGTGCCTAACAACGCCCTTCAGCCGTGATTTATTAATATATATATATATATATATATATATCCAAATTGAGCATTTTTACACCTGTGGTTTGTTCTGAAAAGTGCATGTCTTTATTTTGCACATTATCAACATTTATTTCTAATTTGGAGCCCTATACATTTTTTTTCTTCTGTTTTAATTTTCATTGAATGATTTATTTATTTATTTATTCTGGATTCTGTTTTAAGGGTTAAATTAAATTTTGGTAATCAAAGTATGTCTAATTAATCAAAATCACACAACTTATACAACCATTTATTTAAAGTTCATCACAAATTACATTTTTAGGACCCTATGAAATCTGTTTTATTTATTTATTTATTCACAAATAAATGCATATATTTATTCAGACAGGACTCAATAAATTGATTAAAAGTTGCAGTCTGTTCATCCAAGAATCCTAAAAAAAAATGTATCATGGCTTCTACAAAATAAATAAATAAATAATTAAAATAAAATGACACTGAGGACTGGACAAATGGCTGCTGGAAATTCTGCTTTAACGTCAGAAGAATAAATTATTTTTTACAACATTAAAATAGAAAACAGTTATAACATTTTTAGTACTAATATTTCACAATATTAGTAATTTTGCTGTATTTTATTTTTAAATGTCACAATGCTGAGCAAAAGAGACTTCTTTCAGAAACATTTTAAAAGTCTTACCTACCCTACATTTTTTTTTACGTGTATGTGTGTGTGTGTGTGTGTGTGTGTGTGTGTGCCTTGTATTCCCTATACAGTACCAAATGTCCCCACAAGGATAGTGTTACCAGTAATTTCTGACCTTGTGGGAACATTTTTGGTCCCCATGAGAAAAATAGCTTATAAATCATGCAAAATTATGTTGTTGTTTTTTTGCAATTGTAAAAATGCAGAACGTTTTGTGTGATGGGGTAGGTTTAGGGTAAGGGGATAAAAAATACTTTTTTACAGTATAAAAATCATTGCATCTATGGAATGTTCCCATGAAACATGGAAACCAGTGTGTGTGTGTGTAGTGCAGGGGTGTGCAAAATTAATTAAATTACTTACAAAATGTTTTAAAATTGTGTCAACGTGTTTTCTTAATTAAGTCGTATGAGATATATATATATATATATATACACAGTACAAAGCACAATACAGCCCAATACGAAATTGAAGAATATCACTAAAGCTAAATAGACAGTTTGTGACTGTGCTAATCTCTTTTTCACCTCTAAACCAGGTCACAGACAGTTTGGTAAATTAGATTATATGACACACAAGTGCATCAAAGCAACACTGCAGGCTTATCTAAACTAGATACAGTCGCCCTTATGTCTTCCACCTTTAATCTCCCGGATTTGAATGGATCTGAGGGGATTCCGGCTCAAACGGCTGCTCTCATCACATCCAGCACCGTGCAAGATAATGTGTGCATACTAAAGAACTGATAAGCACTGATATGACAGGATGTGTTTTCATTCTGAGCCTGTCAACCCATCAGAGGCTGCTGAAAGGGCAATGGGCGGCGACAGGCCGAACTGTCATGTGCTAGAAAGCCTTTTTAACAAGCTAAGCTTTATGACTGCTGCCTTTTTACAAGCAAATAAAAGCAACCACAGGCCTAGCACAAAATAAACATCTGTTTTTGACATAAATGGACACCAAAGCATTTTTCATTTTACTGTTTAGTTATTTGGCAGGGGCAACATTAAATGAATATGAAATGAAACCTGTATATTTAGTTATTCAGTTAAATGCAGCACAAAAGATTAAGCAGAGAGTGTGATGAAATGGTAAAATATATAGCTATGACTCATTGGCATGACGTAGCAGGTCACCTGAGGTGGTCATCTGTCCTCAGTCCATTACTTATGATTTATTCTCTCAAATCAATGTCCTAAAAGCCTTTAACATTCAATGGACATCATAATTCAAGTGCAAATGGACAGAAGAATTCCTCTGAGAAAAATATAAATGTTCTTCCAGTGTGCAGTGCATGTAGATACAGATGTTCATCTTCAGAAGGCTGTGTTGTGGAATTGTCGTTTGCCTGTAATTGTCCACAGAGCCTGGTCACATGGGAGACAGAGAACAAGATGACCTGTAGGCAAACCCTTCAGGATGGTAACGGCCCTAAGACATACTGGACACGAGAGCTGAGAGGGAACGAACTCATTCTGGTGAGGAGCTTTTCCATCACTTGATAGTTCCTTTTAAAACAATTCTGTGTCTGTCATTGTGTGTTTTGTGCTGAATGTCTCTGAGTGTGACATGTTTCAGTCTGCTTTGTGATTACTAACACCCATGAGAAACTGATCGCTTGGATTTGTTTGGAATTTTTACAAAAATGCAGGATTGGGTAAACATCTGACCTGCACCGTTGTATAGGCCAGATGGACAACAGTAAACTGGCCTTATAACTGAGGAGGTTTTATTACTGGCTTTATTCACTGACTTTGCTGCCCCTGAGGGACATCAAATGTCTTCCTCTCTCATTCAAGTATCTGTTGTAAACTTTAAAACGGATTTGGGAAAGACTTGTGATGGTGAAACACTCACGCTGTGAAATGATTTGCACCATTCTTCACATGGGTCACTGAAAATATGTGCCATAAAAAGCAGCTCCTGAGCATTCAGTAAAGGTAACTGGTGCATAACAAGCGAATACAACCTACAGTAGTATCTAACCTTGTGTGACACTCATTTGTGGATCACATGCATCCTGATAAAGTTCATGCTATTTATAAGTAGCATGATGTGTAGGCCATACTTAAAAGTTTATAGAGGCTCTGTATAAATACAGAGTTCTGGCATGAAACTCCAGATGGCGCAGTCCGATAGGTCTAACTCAATCTGATATAATGACATCATTATCACATGGCGCAGCTGATTGGTTCTCTCCTGTGTCAGGAGCCAATGAGCTTGCTGCTCAACATTCAAATACCTGGCTTTTGTTTGCTGTAGCAGTTTGCAGCACGCTTCAGAAACCCTCCACCTTCCCCAGCTCCACCTGTACACATCTGCTACGAGGTGATTCATGTATGCTATGGGGGTTATTCATATGTGTATATGTGCAGCAGCAGTATTTCTTACATGCACACAACAGCATGTTGTGGATGTATTGGCAGTAGCAAGTCTCGGTACTTGCTCTGCCGCAGCGTAGCAGATCTATTCTGCCAAGACCAAATACATTAACATTGTCATGTACATTACCATGCCAATCCCTCCGAGAGTTGTCATGACAGAACACAAGTTAAAACCAAGGCCCAATTCTGAAATTGCTTACTCTGAAGTGTTCAGTAACCACTTGTGCAAAATTCACTTTTTCTTTTAAGCATTGGAAGCACAAACACCATGTTGTTGTTTTTTTTACTATAAGAACTAAGTGTTATCTTGCATAAAACTAGCCTAGAATGAAAAGTTACTACAGTAGTTCAAAAATATAGCAAATGCATTCACTCCCTTAAAGTGGGATTTTGGACTGTCCTACTTGAGAAGTTTTAAGATGAGATGATGTTAGTTGTACTATGTACAGCTATGTAAAACAAATAACATTCATTTATATAATCTATTGAACTGATATACTTGATTAAATGAAAAAATTAAAACATTTAAAAAATATTAATTAACAAGTTTTGATTACCAATTTTGTGTACAACCCAGAGCCCTGTCAGACATTATAACATTATTTTGACACTTTATACACACTGACAGGAAATACATAATATTATAAAATATTCCATTTCATTTTCATAGTTTTTACATCATTTTAAGTACTGACGGCATCCATCATGATCAAACATTCAACCTTGTTACTCACGTTTTTGACAAAACAAATATTAATCTTCCTTTTTTTGGGAAATATATCTATATCAATGACAACAAACCAACATTTGGTTCCAAATTAGCAGTAGCTGCTACTGAGTGATAGCTATAGGCAAAAATGTGCAGTTCCTTTACATATTTTTCCATGATTTTATGTTTTTCATGATTTATTTATTTGTTTATTCTTTTATGTTGCATTGTTTTATGTTGCCATTCATATACCATTTGTTGAAAAAGCTATTTACTAGGCCATTTCAGACCCCATGTGCTCTATTCATGGAAAGTTATTGCTAAATAAATGAGCTCAACAGGGAAATACGCTGAACCATTAACACAGCACAACTTGCATTCAGTGGTATTTTTGGTCCACATTAAAGCGTTCATGGACCTTGACACAGTTGGTGGCATTACAGCGTGCCGGACAAGACATGTTGAAGTCACATTTGTGTCTTATTAGGCACAGCAGAAAATGTGATGCATCACAGTGAACTGGTAATGCAGCTGGCTCTCATCAAAACTCCTTCAGGCTCATGAGGAGGAGACTTCTGAATGCATGATGATGGTGATGCATGTCTTTCCATTCACAACCAGCTGTTTTGTCATGAGCTTAATAATCATGACCAACTGCTGCTAATTAAAAAAAATGCCTCGTTGCATATGAATATAATGGCAACTGCTTTCTGTCTTTTGTTTATTGAAATTAATGTATTATTCTCATGAACCACTTGAAACCATTTGTCTTGTGCTTTGCAGCACTCTTCGTTATAAATGGTTTACATAAAGTTTACTTAATTTGTACCTGTTTTTTCATTCTAGTGATTAATGTGTGTGGCTTTTTGTGAAAATGGCCACATTTCCATAAAGCTGGCATCAAGGAGCAAAGTTACTGGCAGTGACCCAGAAAACACTTTGCAAAGGGGTCTAATTGATCATGTTACATGTAGGAATGCTGGCGGTGTGTAAGGGCCTGACACTCCTCTCTCTAATGTGTCCCACGGCACCGGCACACACAGCCGATGGCCCGTCCTAATACCATTTTTTTTAAAGAGTGCGTGAGGTGGTCCTGCTCTGGAGCGCAGATGGTCTATGGTGTTGTCAGCTGCTCTAGTTCTGTTTGGATGTGATTTCCAAACGTTTCAGCATTGAGAAGTCAGAGGCACTTCCTCTCAATCCAATCAATGCATCAGTCAAAGCACTTCAGTGATCAACAATTCCAAGAAGCTACAAACAAATTGTTTACATCAGAGCAAAATGTCTTCATTTTAGGAGTGTCACATATAATCGATCTATGACTGCATGGACAATCATGGTGAACAAAATGAACTGTGAATAACACTGAAAGAATGAATGAGTTAATGGTGTTGTCTCTTTATTTATTTTCACTGCTTAGACCTTTGGGGCCGATGATGTGGTGTGCACACGGATTTATGTACGGGAATAAGCACTGGATGGAGGGATATTCCAGCACTTGCAGCTTTGGAGGAATAACATTCTGTTTGGGATTAACTTGCACTGTTGTGTGTTAGTTGATACTTTCTTCTGTTCTGACTTTATCACCATTTATGTTTATTCAATTTAATCATTAGATTCATTTTTATAATGTTTTTAATGTACAGTGTTAGTCAGGCCTGGCTCAAGCTCTAAGATGATTTAAGGTGGGCCGCAGGACTCTCAGGGTGGGCTGGACAGTTGAGGAATTGAGCAGGCCTGGTGTTAGTTATATTCATGGTTATATCCGACAAACACTCTTAGAACACTTGTAATGGTTTACTGCAGCCATGTCTAATGATCTTTATTAACTTTTTTTGTAGTTATTGACTGTGCATGAAATAATAAAGACATATAATTGTTAATGATACGATTGTACATTTTGAAATCTCTTTAACCAGCATGTTTCACTGGAAGCCCCCCGTTGATCCTGTTCATACGTTTATATATCCTTGAATCTTGTGTGTTATTACCTGGATGATCCACAAGTGTTTTTGTATTTTGTGATAGTTGTTTACGAGTTCCTTGTTTGTCCAGGGGTGCATTTCCCAAAAGCAACTATGGGTGCAAGTTCCGTCATTACCAATAGAGTTCAGTGGAGCTTGCAAGCATAGTTACCTAACGATCCTGCAGTGACACATTATTTAGTACTTCAGAAGATACATAAAGAGGACAACACTACTGTTCAAATGTTTGAGGGTCGGTAATGCTTTTAAAGAAGTATCTTATGCTCAACCAAGGCTGCATCTATTTGGTAAAAAAAAATGTATATATAATTTATTCCTGTAGTGGCAAACCCAAATTTTAAGCAGCCCTTATTACTCCAGTCTTCACTGTCACATGCAAAAGACAAATATCTGGCATGGCTAACGACTTGTAAAAGAATCAACAGGGGTCAAAAGAAAGTGTTGGCATTCTTCTCTTCATCTGTGAGGAAAAGCCGTCATCCGTCTCCATTTTATGCTCTATGAGTTATGAGCCTTTTTTAATGACCCATTTCTCCAGGGACTGCTTAACTATAATATGGGGCCAAATCCTAATTAAATAATGAGCCATATCGAACCAACGCCTTTTTTTCTCCTGGTAAGTTAAATGTCACTGTAGACTTTTATTACTCTCTTTGGTGTTTAAACGCTCTTGCCTTTTTTTAAGTACTGACGGCATCCATCATGATCAAACATTCAACCTTGTTACTCACGTTTTTGACAAAACAAATATTAATCTTCCTTTTTTTGGGAAATATATCTATATCAATGACAACAAACCAACATTTGGTTCCAAATTAGCAGTAGCTGCTACTGAGTGATAGCTATAGGCAAAAATGTGCAGTTCCTTTACATATTTTTCCATGATTTTATGTTTTTCATGATTTATTTATTTGTTTATTCTTTTATGTTGCATTGTTTTATGTTGCCATTCATATACCATTTGTTGAAAAAGCTATTTACTAGGCCATTTCAGACCCCATGTGCTCTATTCATGGAAAGTTATTGCTAAATAAATGAGCTCAACAGGGAAATACGCTGAACCATTAACACAGCACAACTTGCATTCAGTGGTATTTTTGGTCCACATTAAAGCGTTCATGGACCTTGACACAGTTGGTGGCATTACAGCGTGCCGGACAAGACATGTTGAAGTCACATTTGTGTCTTATTAGGCACAGCAGAAAATGTGATGCATCACAGTGAACTGGTAATGCAGCTGGCTCTCATCAAAACTCCTTCAGGCTCATGAGGAGGAGACTTCTGAATGCATGATGATGGTGATGCATGTCTTTCCATTCACAACCAGCTGTTTTGTCATGAGCTTAATAATCATGACCAACTGCTGCTAATTAAAAAAAATGCCTCGTTGCATATGAATATAATGGCAACTGCTTTCTGTCTTTTGTTTATTGAAATTAATGTATTATTCTCATGAACCACTTGAAACCATTTGTCTTGTGCTTTGCAGCACTCTTCGTTATAAATGGTTTACATAAAGTTTACTTAATTTGTACCTGTTTTTTCATTCTAGTGATTAATGTGTGTGGCTTTTTGTGAAAATGGCCACATTTCCATAAAGCTGGCATCAAGGAGCAAAGTTACTGGCAGTGACCCAGAAAACACTTTGCAAAGGGGTCTAATTGATCATGTTACATGTAGGAATGCTGGCGGTGTGTAAGGGCCTGACACTCCTCTCTCTAATGTGTCCCACGGCACCGGCACACACAGCCGATGGCCCGTCCTAATACCATTTTTTTTAAAGAGTGCGTGAGGTGGTCCTGCTCTGGAGCGCAGATGGTCTATGGTGTTGTCAGCTGCTCTAGTTCTGTTTGGATGTGATTTCCAAACGTTTCAGCATTGAGAAGTCAGAGGCACTTCCTCTCAATCCAATCAATGCATCAGTCAAAGCACTTCAGTGATCAACAATTCCAAGAAGCTACAAACAAATTGTTTACATCAGAGCAAAATGTCTTCATTTTAGGAGTGTCACATATAATCGATCTATGACTGCATGGACAATCATGGTGAACAAAATGAACTGTGAATAACACTGAAAGAATGAATGAGTTAATGGTGTTGTCTCTTTATTTATTTTCACTGCTTAGACCTTTGGGGCCGATGATGTGGTGTGCACACGGATTTATGTACGGGAATAAGCACTGGATGGAGGGATATTCCAGCACTTGCAGCTTTGGAGGAATAACATTCTGTTTGGGATTAACTTGCACTGTTGTGTGTTAGTTGATACTTTCTTCTGTTCTGACTTTATCACCATTTATGTTTATTCAATTTAATCATTAGATTCATTTTTATAATGTTTTTAATGTACAGTGTTAGTCAGGCCTGGCTCAAGCTCTAAGATGATTTAAGGTGGGCCGCAGGACTCTCAGGGTGGGCTGGACAGTTGAGGAATTGAGCAGGCCTGGTGTTAGTTATATTCATGGTTATATCCGACAAACACTCTTAGAACACTTGTAATGGTTTACTGCAGCCATGTCTAATGATCTTTATTAACTTTTTTTGTAGTTATTGACTGTGCATGAAATAATAAAGACATATAATTGTTAATGATACGATTGTACATTTTGAAATCTCTTTAACCAGCATGTTTCACTGGAAGCCCCCCGTTGATCCTGTTCATACGTTTATATATCCTTGAATCGTGTTATTACCTGGATGATCCACAAGTGTTTTTGTATTTTGTGATAGTTGTTTACGAGTTCCTTGTTTGTCCAGGGGTGCATTTCCCAAAAGCAACTATGGGTGCAAGTTCCGTCATTACCAATAGAGTTCAGTGGAGCTTGCAAGCATAGTTACCTAACGATCCTGCAGTGACACATTATTTAGTACTTCAGAAGATACATAAAGAGGACAACACTACTGTTCAAATGTTTGAGGGTCGGTAATGCTTTTAAAGAAGTATCTTATGCTCAACCAAGGCTGCATCTATTTGGTAAAAAAAAATGTATATATAATTTATTCCTGTAGTGGCAAACCCAAATTTTAAGCAGCCCTTATTACTCCAGTCTTCACTGTCACATGCAAAAGACAAATATCTGGCATGGCTAACGACTTGTAAAAGAATCAACAGGGGTCAAAAGAAAGTGTTGGCATTCTTCTCTTCATCTGTGAGGAAAAGCCGTCATCCGTCTCCATTTTATGCTCTATGAGTTATGAGCCTTTTTTAATGACCCATTTCTCCAGGGACTGCTTAACTATAATATGGGGCCAAATCCTAATTAAATAATGAGCCATATCGAACCAACGCCTTTTTTTCTCCTGGTAAGTTAAATGTCACTGTAGACTTTTATTACTCTCTTTGGTGTTTAAACGCTCTTGCCTTTTCTGGGCAAAAAAACTAGAAAAAAAAAGTTCATAGAATAAAAAAAAAAAAGTAAAAAAAAAAAAGAAAAGAAAAAAAAACTCTAAAGACTGTTAAGAGTGTTAATTGCATTTCCTAATAAAAACTGTAGAAAATTAGTGTAAGAACTCCAGCATTGCAAATTAATAACTGCATGCCTCAATGTGATCATGAGAGTTTGGCTAATGTTTTAAGTTAACTCTATGGACACATTTGAGTGTAAAACATTACACTGTGCCCCAGGAGAACGTCCAAACACTCCCTCTGCTGCCAGTGTGGAAAAACTACACAGTGGGTTTCAGTGCACATGAATTATGCATTCTCAATAGTACATGAGTGTAATTCAGTGAGAAAACACGCATGCATTATTGATCCTTATAGTTACAGGGAGCTCGACACACAGCAGGGTAATCTACTACAATTCTGTTTTATTTCAATCTTTAAAACAATAATGAATAATATAAAAGGGCTGTACATGAGAACATAGAAACATGCTGTCATTGCCTTCTTTAAATATGTTTTACATATTTGTCAGCATAAACCAAAGCCTTAAAGCACATACAAATGTACCCCAAGTTACATTTCCAGACGTCTCGGTACAAGAGGGCAAAATGGGACCAAACAGGATCGTTTCTAAGTTCTACTCAGAACACAGGCAGTGATATCACAAATTTGAATACAAGTTCAGATAAGGGCCAAATATAGCGTCATGAAAACCTGTACTATTCAACATCTCAGGTTCTGGACAAACTTGAAGCTGTCGAAAACGAACATTTTCATGACTACATAACGAGAGGAGACAGAGTGACCAGACAAAACACTTTAAACAAGTACTCCCTTTGGTAAGAATAGTCATAAAGTGTTTTCTTAAACATCCCAGCATTAGCCTCCTCCACTAAGCTGATAAGGAAGCCTAAGAACTGAACTACGTAACAGTGAAGGTTGTCAGAATATAAACAGTCTGGCATATATACATCGTATCTACAAGAGCTTTTGTGACTGTACTTATTCTGGTGTTCCTGATTGACACATTGTGGCTGGTATCTTAGATGTCTATTAATTAACGGTAATACCTTCATTAATGGTGCTGTAATTAACCTGTGAAAAGAGACCTTGATTACATTTCATGTATATTGCGAACAATACACTTGGGAAATTCACATCATCAGTCCTGGTTTAGCTGCATAGCCCCAAACATGGAGGCTTTTTTAAAAACCGATTCGAGATTTTCTCTCATTTTCTGAACATGTATGTGGTTGACGTGAACCACAAAAGACATATTGCTAATAAACTACTATTCACCTTGAAGGGATGAAAAATAAAAAGCGATATACAAATGGGCATGGACTTGACCTGTATTTGTAAACCATCCTTTTCGCAAAAAGCCACTCAGAAAGACAAAACCGATTCTTATTGTCTGGAAAATCAAGTAAGAGTCTGACTAGAGCTGCAGCATTTGCAAGAAGTGTTTTCTTGCCCTCATGATTTAAGGACACTAACCAACTGAGTACAAAGTCCAGGGGGGGAAAAAGATTCCAATCTAAAAATTTAAAAAGGTACAAATAAAAAAAAAAAGAAAGAAAGGGAGCAATTTTCAAATAACTCAATGGCGGTCAGATTTTAATTTCAGTGCTACTTCAGTCATCGTAAAAACAACATAAAATGGAGGTAAAAGCCCTCCCTTCTCTTGAAAACTTGAGCTTTACAACGTAGTGCTGTAGGTGACTTTATATTTGTTGATGTTCTGGAAGTGGAGGATCTTGGGCTCACAGACGGTTCTGCAGGGCAGTAGCCCCTCCAGGCCATCACCCATCAGCCACTTGTAAGTTGTGGCCGCCATGTCGCTGGTCACATGCTCTTTCTGCCACCTGTCTAGCCACAACTGAAAGCGCTGATGCAGACGAGTGCTTACTCTCTGGTGTGACTGAAAATCATCAAGATAAACAGAAATCAATCAATTGTGAAGCATCCTGATGATCTCAAAACATATTCCTCTATCACAGTGTTGACAATTTGAAGTTAACCGGTAAGTTGGTAAATTGGTAAGTAAATTTAGTAAGTTAAAGTGGGGTAATTGGTGGGGTAAATAATTTTAATTAAAATGCGAATACATGAAAAAAAAATCAAGATGCAAGCTGAAACCATACTTTCCCCTTAAAAAACTATTGTTACTGAAGAGAAGTAGAATCAAGAACATTCTGGTTCACAAAATCAATTGTGGATTGTTAATAAAAAAAATCATTTACTCACCCTCCTGTTATTTCCAAACCTGTATGACTTATATTCTTCAGTGGAGCATAAAATTATATTTTGAAGAATATTTGTAACCAAACATTTCCAGTTGCCATTTGGTATTTTGTGTCCATACAAGGAAAGTCAATGGGAACCTAAACTGTTTTATTACCAGTATTCTTCAAACTATCTTACTTTGTACTGTGGAACATAAAAGATGATGTTTTGAAAAATATTGGTAATAAAAACAATAAATAATAAAAGTTTCAATTCGCATTTTCTATGTTTCTAAGTCAAGTCAACTGTTTTATTATAAATATTCTTTAAAATATCTTCAGTAGAACATACAGGTCATGCAGGTTTGGAATGACTTGAGTATGAATAAATGCTGAAAAGATTTTTGGGTGGACTATCCCTTCAATATATCAACGCTCCCAGTTTATGTTCATAAAAAAATTATTATTTAATTGAAACCATAATAATTACAGTAGAAATATCAGAAATTTAATTTGGGAGGGTGGGGCTTCAAATACTGTGTCGGACAACTCTTGAATCAAAACGTTTGAGAACCATTGATCTATCATCTACAGTATATACCTGATGCGCTCTCAGCTGTGCAGTGCGTCGGTACATGTAGTCCTCCGACTTGAAGACGTACACCATCTTGTAGGAGTTGAGCTTAAACATGCACTCCATTTTTGAGTCCTCGCCGCCCTCTGAGGATTTCTTGGCTGTTTCTTTGGCCTCTCTCACCTGCATCCCCTGACCTCTCTGGCACTTCCGGACTCGCCTTAGGTTCCTTAAAAAGAACAATGCACATTGTTTAATCTTTCTTAAATTTAGTGCAAATGCTATCAAACATGTTAAGGCTCAGCATCAGACAGCCTAAGGAGAGGAACATCCAAATCAAAAAGAAAAATTATGCACCAATGCAACTGTCTACAGTGCACCTGGGTCTCAACAGATATGATAAATTATCAACAAAAATGATCATCTCCACTGAAAACTCATCCATGGCAAAACCACGTATTGATCAAGTGCCAAATCAAGGTACTGGATGGAAAAACAAAAAAGAGGTAATTTCCCTGCTTCAATTAAAGACTAAAATTAGAAGTGTACTTACCTAAGGTTACAGATGTGAATGGGCATAGAAACCATGACTCTTATTTTGAATTCAGGACTTCACTTAAAGAAACTAGCCAATCGTCACAACAACAAAAAAAGAAACCAGGTAGGGAATCAGGTTAAATGGCCAGGATATGGGTTGACATTGTGCATTGTGCATTATGCATTGCATGACCATGCACTAGAAGTGTTTGTTGCATTAATGTCAGCTACTCAACCTCACACTGCACATAAACAGAAATGAATCAATCCAAAAAGAAATAAAAATGTGACTGTCAGTTTGTTGGACGAACATGGAGACATCAAGAGCATCTCTCCAGCACTGCACATAAAACATGCATTACAAAAACTGAAAGAGCAAGCAAATCAATCATCCTCCCATGCTAGAGCTCAAACGTCTGTTGGAAAGAAATAGACTACACGCACATTTGAGGATAAAATTCAGACCAGAGTTTTATTGACAAGCCCCTCTCTGAAATACAGCCGTCAGACCGTGGTGAGTTTAAGTTCGAGTCATAACACCACTTTGTAAACTGACAACCGCAATCGAACTCAAGAGAGAATCAGCAATGGGAGGACACATTGAGATCTCAGCATACAAAGTCTACTCACTCAAATCTTACAGACTACAAAAGCATTTATAGACAATCATGAAATCAAGTCACATACAGAAATGTATCCGTCAATAGAATTACACAAACAGACCACAGCACACTTTATGTGAGAAAGCAAAGAAGTTTTGTGAAACCCAAAATTGGGCTACTTTAAAAAGTTTATGAAAATCTATTCAAAAGAAAGTACAGATCTGAACAAAGCACTCTGCTTTTTTTGAGAACAGGCTCATCTTATCTAAATGCACAATCTTCAGCCTCTTTAGAAAGTTGCTCTTCTAAAGAACATGGTGACTCAACCGAACCCTGTTGAGAGCAGGCATATAAAAACATCTTCCATATTCTCCGATGAAAAACAAATATTAAAAATGAAATGAAATTTCCACCTCATTAAATGTGTTATAAGTCTCAACCATTAAAAAATGGTGCACATAATTTTAGATAACACCTCTGCACACATTCCCCACAAACACACCATACTTACAATTTATAAATAAGCGTAAAAGAACCAATATGTCTGTATAGTGGCCACATCTGAGCAAAGATAAACAGCCTAACAATGAGTTTTCATTGAATAAATTCTCAATAAAGTGCAAATGCAAGCAAGCAGAGAGCTTGTGTGTTTGGGTAGAAAAAAACTTAAAAAAACAAAAACAACAACAGGTGATTACAAACAGGCAGCACTTGTACAGTGTGACTTCCAGACATTTCCAAAGACTATCGAAAGCATTCCTGGGATGTTCCTGTCTTGAGCTGATGCTTCATGGGAAGTTTAAAGGACTCACGGCTCTAAAGATGGGTGTACTTGGCTGAGCCTCACCTGGGTAGAAACACAGGCTTCTGGGAGAGGTGCTCTCGCAGCTCTGGAGAGGCCGAGCTGGTGTTCAGATATCGCTCCACATAGTCAGGCCAGCGCTGAAACACACAGGCAGACATTCAAGGTTACTTTTATAGAATTAAGAGTCACTGTTAATAGCATTACTGTCTGGAACTAGGGCTGTGTATCGGCAAGAATCTGGCGATACAATACGTATCACGATACAGGGGTTGCGATACGATATGTTGCGATATAATGCGATACTATAAGCATATTGGGATATTTATTATTTTAGGAATAGGAGAATAGGATATCATTTTAGGAAAACTGTCATTTAGAACACATTTTAGAAACCATTTGCATATGTAATTGTAAATTGCATTTGCAAACCATATATGTAAATCCATTTACACATATCCATATCCAGTACTGCTGTGTGTGTGCACTTTGGATGGGATAAATGCAGAGCACTATGGGAGCGGGCGGGACTGGACAAACCTTGCAGGAGCGGAAGGTTAGGTTACTTTATTAGTAACGCACACGTCACCGTTTAAGTTCAGAGATAAGAAGACTGCTATCTAGCGGTCGGGATATAAACTCAAAACGAAACAACGGCCATGAATATTGTATTTATTTATTTTTTTTAAATATCGATATTGCGTTTTTGAGAATCGATACAGTATGCCAAACAAAATATCGCGATACTCATGTGTATCGATATTTTCTTATACCCCTATCTGGAACTACTGAATATTGCTGAATACATGAATATAATCTTCAGGATATGCTCTGAATGGCAGTTTTATGTGTTGTTTTAGAAAGACTAATTTCTTTATATGAATCTCATATATAATGCAAAAGCTCTGATCATGTATTTTACCTCTTGAAAAACTCTCTCTTTTTGGAGAACAAGACCCAAACTGACATAATGAAATGTAAAATGAGCAGAATAAAATAATTAAATAATAGTACTACAGAAAGAGTTTTAAAAAATAAGTAAATAGGGGTGTAATGGTACAGGCACTCGTACTGAAAACTTTTGGTACGGGTCTTTTGATTTGGTACCAACCAAGTGTACCAAACAAATACAGCATTGTTTTAACCACTGCACGAGTGGAATTTCATTGGAAACTTCCAGTTTTATATATCGTTACTTCCAAAATAAATAGTCCCATCTTTCAAACCATGTCCAGTTTTTTCAGGAAATTCAAACAATGAATAGTGTTTTGACGCTCTTTGATGTGGTGCGACAGATCGCTGTATAGGCGCTTCATTTTAAACTGCAGCATGAAGCGCGAGTGAGCACGATCATCCCTTACTATTTCCTAATAGTTTTAACACAAAATAAACACGAGTGAACTTATTATGCCTCATGTAATCAATCAATCAGTGTTTCAACCTCAGAAAGTCGTAAAAAAAAAAAAAAACGCTTGTAAACAAAATGTCACGTAGCATTTAATTTACCTCAGGCTAGTCATCAGCGTCCACAGCTCATTAGTTCACTAGAGAAATTAAGTCTAGAGAAGAGCATTTCGGGAAATATTAAACTATATACTCATATTTATTTTACTTTACCTGTTATAACATCACTATGGTGATGTCTTAATTAGGCCATTTAATTTATGTTCAATTTAATTTAAATAAATCTGTTGTGAAACAAGTTATGACAGCCACTGTGTAAATTAATATATTTCAACAACAAATAGAAATTTTATAATTTAGAAGTTAATTTAAAAACTGCATTATGTGCAATTTACATGTTTGCAAGTTGAGTACATTTAAAAATAAATAGTAATAAAATTTAATTTGGGCTCTGTTGTTAATTGTAACCTTATAGTAATGTAAAAGGGGTCCCTATAGTTTAGAGCATATGCTGAGGTAGATTTTTATTTTTATTAAGAAAATTAAAAATAATTATAATTGAATTTATTTAAAGAAATAGCAATTTCTTCAGTAAACCACTGTTTAATTAAAAAAAATAAACCCCCCTGCTGTACCGAAAACATACCGAACCGTGATGTCAAAACCGAGGTACGTACTGAACTGTCATGTTTGTGTACCGTTACACCCCTAAAAGCAAATAAATAACTAAGTGGAAATGTCTCTGCATAATTGATGCAAAAACAATAATAAATAAATGAACTTAATGAACTAAACAAATAATTGCATAATAATGATGATGAGAAATGATTATGATTATTGTGATGGTATTAAACAAAATATTATACAAAAATGTATAGGCCAGAATAGGTGTTTAGAATTATTTGAATCGCTCCAAATATTCGAAAAAGCAATATAAATTGCAGAAACTAAAAACTGGTTTAACAAAAGACAACAATTTAAATTGTGTTTTTTTTTTACAGTATAATTTTTTACAATCAAGCCATACTTCTTTTTCTTAACAACATGCACAGATAAATCAAATATTACTTCGGTTGAGAGCACACTGCAACATCACACACACACACAATTGTTTTTTTTTTCTGGTGGCTGAGGCTGCACCTTTGTCTTCCAGTTGTGCTACTGACGGGTTGATGGGCTTCAGAACATAGAAAAGTCCTGAGGAACTGTGGGAGCTGATGCAGAAGCGGATGTACTTTGACAACGTCTTTCTGCAAGAGTCACAACCACTGTCCCCTAGAATACTGTGGGTCTTCTTCGCCTTGGCAGCCTGCTGAAGGCATCCATAATGTCAAGTCCAACATCACTGTCTGATTTCATGTAGAACTTCACAGCATCCAATTCATAAGGGTCCACTGTGTGTCACCATCTCTGTAGGTTTTATGGAAGGATCAGTATTTCCCACATATTCCTCCATTCATCAAACGGCACCTTGTTGTTTCTGATCCTGCGGATATTGCCGCAGGGAGTGTTCCTTGGCAATATGTTCAGCTGTTTGGGACACACTTATCCTGCATCCCAAACAGTGCCACAAGCCCGAATCAATTTATGAAGGAAGTCCCTGAAGAGTGAGGAACTAGTGTAAGAGTCGTCAACAAAAAGCTTGTAGTCAGTGTCCAGCAATTTTTCATCCACAAGGGCTGTAACAGAGTAATAACTCAAAATGGACTGTGCTCAAAGAGATGTTCTCTCCAAAATCCCAAGCACAAATAGAGTCTGCCAGGACAAATGTTTTTTTGTTCACCTTTGTGGGTTTTTTTCAGATGCTGGTTGAAGTACAGCTCTCGACCATTCATTCATCAACAGCAATGATCTGTAAAGCACGAAGTCGTCTTGCAGGCATCCCTACATTCCTCATGGAGTCCATTTTCAGAATACTGATATACAGACCATATCAAAACCAGACAGGAATTTTGTGCAGGACATGATTTGTGCTAGAAAAGACCTCCTACAATAGTCTGTTGAGCAGAACTGGCTCAACGCAATGTCTTGCCGTGGCACATCGTTTCTTTCTGATATTTGGGGCCATTTAGACATTAGTGTGTTCTTACATGTCAGAAACATCTGGTACCTTAATATTTGGTTCATGAACATGGTCACCTCTCTTCTGAGGTGCTACAGGAAAGAGCAATATGGAAACTACACCATTTTCGTCATTTCCCCTTGCAGTAGCAGGTAGCATAGATGTAGCGGTCAGAAACATCTGGTACCTTAATATTTGGTTCATGAACATGGTCACCTCTGAGGTGCTACAGGAAAGAGCAATATGGAAACTACACCATTTTCGTCATTTCCCCTTGCAGTAGCAGGTAGCATAGATGTAGCCGATGTTGTTGGATACAGCGATGTAGCAGAATGACAAAATCTGTTCCTCTGAAGGATGAATCTCAGCCTTCAAGAAACGAGTCAGCAGAAGGCCTATTGCACAGCACAGAAAGTAGTGCAACGGAATAGTGCAAGTACTACATTTGCAGAGGCAGCTATAATAAAGTTAGTATAACTGGGCTGTGCACTGCAGGTGGGTTTAATGACTGGTTTTGATGTCATACTCTATGTGGCCCATGCCTCCCCCACAAAAAAGTAGGATTAGCGCCAACATCACGATTTTAAATCGGTTTTCAGATTGTGAGCTTTAAAATAACATACATAGCTTGTCAAAATCAACTGAAGACAATCACACTACTGTCCCACCACCAATAGTCTCAGCCTTTTTAAAACCGGATGCATTCTTGCATGTCACTGCGCTATTTTTTTGTAATTGTTGGTCTATGCGTAGATGAACAACTTTCGCTGTGACGCAAAATTCGGCCACTGTGAGTGGGTTCTTGGACTGAATAAGCTGCAAAGTAAACTTGGATAAGGATGTTGCCACAACACTTCACCAGCAGTGTAGGTTGGATTAATAGTTTAACACTCAAAAATCTTTAGCCAAGTCTCAGGCATGTACCTCAGTATCCACAGGTCCATCCGAGTTCTCCTCCTCTGTGTCCAACAGCTCCACGGCCAGCTGCACAATCCCTTTAGACTTCTGGAACAATAACTGCAAAGAAAAGAAAAAACAAATCCTGTTTAAATATGCATGGGTAGCAGACCCATCCTCTAAAACTATTTGTAGACTGTATTTTACTAACTATAATAATACATTCAGTTTCTATGTACTCATATAAATAGAGAGACTAAATGGAATCTGAACTACATTTTCATTTGTAAAAAATAGTTGAGGAGTCATGCTAGGTATACAATCGAAGCTGTACATTTCCCCTTATAAATTCACAGGATTTAACCTAAAATGGTGAGAAAAAAGACACGATAGATACGTATCCATCTACACAGATGAAACTGTGGTTAAACAAAATAGTTAAATAAAGAGAAGGAGGTGAAAGGAGGCAGCAGATAACAGCGTGACATTGAAAAATGTGGTCATTAAAACAAAAAGCACAGATTTTGGCCGATTAAGCCACTTAAGACCGATAGCTTGATGGATGGTCAATTGGTTTGCTTGGAAAAACCAACAGAAAAGTCTTATCAGCATTTCTTATACAACCATCCTTCACTGTGACTTCGACTTTGTAACTGTGAACGCAATTGTAGTACAAAAAAGCAATTTATTTATTTTAACACACCATAATATCTCCTCTCCCCTACTGATAACACTCTAATCCTTTTTGCTTTTCTCAAAAGTGACAGCATAAAAATGTAAGTCTAAAAGTAATATTCAGTTTTGATGTGAACACTTGGCATATGCATACAACTGAACATGTATACACAAGTACAGGTGCATCTCAATAAATTAGAATGTTGTGGAAAAGTTAATTTATTTCAGTAATTCAACTCAAATTGTGAAACTCGTGTATTAAATAAATTCAGTGCACACAGACTGAAGTAGTTTAAGTCTTTGGTTCTTTTAATTGTGATGATTTTGGCTCACATTTTACAAAAACCCACCAATTGACTATCTCAACTAATTAGAATACTTCATAAGACCAATAAAAAAAACATTTTTAGTTAATTGTTGGCCTTCTGGAAAGTATGTTCATTTACTGTACATGTACTCAATACTTGGTAGGGGCTCCTTTTGCTTTAATCACTGCCTCAATTCGGCGTGGCATGGAGGTGATCAGTTTGTGGCACTGCTGAGGTGGTATGGAAGCCCAGGTTTCTTTGACCGTGGCCTTCAGCTCATCTACATTTTTTGGTCTCTTGTTTCTCATTTTCCTCTTGACAATACCTTCTCTATGGGGTTCAGGTCTGGCGAGTTTGCTGGCCAGTCAAGCACACCAACACCATGGTCATTTAACCAACTTTTGGTGCTTTTGGCAGTGTGGGCAGGTGCCAAATCCTGCTGGAAAATGAAATCAGCATATTCAAAAAGCTGGTCAGCAGAAGGAAGCATGAAGTGCTCCAAAATGTCTTAACTTGCTCTCATCTGAAAAGAGGACTTTGGACCATTGGGCAACAGTCCAGTTCTTCTTCTCCTTAGCCCAGGTAAGACGCCTCTGACGTTGTCTGTGGTTCAGGAGTGGCTTAACAAGAGGAATACGACAACTGTAGTCAAATTCCTTGACACGTCTGTGTGTGGTGGTTCTTGATGCCTTGACCCCAGCCTCAGTTCATTCCTTGTGAAGTTCACTCAAATTCTTGCATCGATTTTGCTTGACAATCCTCATAAGGCTGCGGTTCTCTCGGTTGGTTGTGCATCTTTTTCTTCCACACTTTTTCCTTCCACTCAACTTTCTGTTAACATGCTTGGATACAGCACTCTGTGAACAGCCAGCTTCTTTGTCAATGAATGTTTGTGGCTTACCCTCTTCTGGACAACTGTCAGATCAGCAGTCTTCCCCATGATTGTGTAGCCTAGTGAACCAAACTGAGAGACCATTTTGAAGGCTCAGGAAAGCTTTGCAGGTGTTTTGAGTTGATTAGCTGATTGGCATGTCACCATATTCTAATTTGTTGAGATAGTGAATTGGTGGGTTTTTGTTAAATGTGAGCCAAAATCATCACAATTAAAAGAACCAAAGACTTAAACTACCTTCAGTCTGTGTGCACTGAATCTATTTAATACACAACTTTAACAATTTGAGTTGAATTACTGAAATAAATGAACTTTTCCACAACATTCTAATTTATTGAGATGCACCTGTATATTGAATCCAAGCTGCCAAAATGACTCTTTTTCTGTAGCTTCCAGGTTTTTATTACATAATAGAGATGAAAACATCAGCACAAGACTATCTGCACAGACAGATCAACGCCTACTACTTCATCATTGCCTATTAAGTCCCACCCACTCATTTGTTATACAGACAGAAGAAATACTACAGCAGGATCACTGGACTAAAAATAACATTACTTTCCAAAGGACCCTAATATTAGGAAAACATCTACTTATTTTCAACTACGTAAATGTCTCCAAAGATAATTATTTGTTTGCAAGCTTTGCAAACAGACTTTTATTGAAAGATATAGACCTGACAGGAATGGCACAATATATACATAACCATGCTATACCAGTGATACTACTTCAACACTTTTTTGTAAATTGCTTTCCTTGAGGGAAATGTGTAAAACTTGAAGGCCAAAGTATGCTTCAGTTTTGACACAAATGTTTAGTGTATCCATACAAACGAATGCGAAACTAAATATTATAGTTTTATGCACACTACAAAGTTTTGTCCTTGTCTTATATCTGTGCAATTTATCTCCTGAAGTTATAAACATGTCTTTGTACTCATTTAAACTAGAACTGAGTGTCTCTTAAAGGGGTCATATGATGCAATTTAAATTTTTCCTTTCTCTTTGAAGTGTTACAAGCTCTTGGTGCATAAAGAAGATCTGTAAAGTTGCAAAGACTAAAGTCTCAAATCCAAAGAGATATTCTTTATAAGTTAAGAGTCAACCACGCCTACCTAAAACGGCTCGTTCTAACACACCCCCACATGTCTACGTCACGATGTGGGAAGATGTGCATAACGCCACCCAAATGTTCACACAAAGAAAGAAGGCTAACTTTTATTCTCGCTGTAGTATTTTTGCTGCCGCCATGTCGTGATGACGCTGTGTTTCACTGTGCAAGCGAAACTACTTTGTTTGGCCTTCCAAAAGAGGATGATATCCACTTCGTCATGCCTAGAGCTGATCTGTGCTGGTCGCTGAGGAAATACATCAACTTGCCTTAGGCCCCGTTTACACTAGTGCGTTTTCGTTTTAAAATGCATTACTTTTGCTACGGTTATGCCTATCATTTACACTATTCCAACATTTTCGACCCTAGAAAACGGAGACTTTTGAAAACGCTGCGGACCCCGTTTTAGTTAAAAAACTCTGGGGTTGCGTTTCAGTGTAAACGGACCAAAACGGAGACTTTTGAAAACGATGGCTTGGCTGCCCACATTCGCGCTGCTAATCCTTGACGATCGTGTAAACAATAACATCATGCTCATTGTTCATTCATGCAGGTACAACCATAGATATGTATGGGTAGAATCCCCATTCGACCGCTCCAAGCACGTAGATGCATCCGGCATCTAACATAATAGGGAATCTACCTATACATATCTATGGTTGTACCTGCATGAATGGTCATGTGACATGCGTTTTTAGTTGTGTAGTGTAGACGGAGATCGTTTCTGAAACGCAGCGGAAACGGCAGTGTAGATGAGGATCGTTTTCATTTTAAAGGACCTACACAACCCTACAACCCAAAAAAATTGCATTAGGCCAAATCACAATTTTGATTTTAATTTGAAAAACTGTGCAGCCCTATATGCTTTTGAATAATTTCCATAATCATGTACTATGCTATTTAAATTGTACTACAAAGAATACAAAAAAATATTTTAAAAACTAGCTAATCTGTCCTTTATCAAAGAAAGAGCCTTTTCTCACCACAGTGCATTACATTTTTATAGTTTTATGAATTTGCTAGGAAGGAGTCAGACAATAACTTTTATGCTGACCTTTTGAGTACAATAGGTACAGAGACAGCAGGGTTCGTCTTAAGCCCATCTATGATGTCTGGAGCTTTATCACCATATATCCTCTGAATAGCTTTACGATGGATGACCTCAGAGGAGCCTCCGATGGTGTTGTCCAGCCGGAACTTGGCCTGTTCCTCAGCCGACATGCGCGAGATCCTCTTTTGAACAGCCTCCAGAACACGGATGGTGGCGAGGTTTGTCTCCAGAACCACATCAAGCTGCACGACACATGACACTGAACTGAATATCCTATTACACTGAATACAATGAAGCTTTGGTAAACTAAAATAATATAAACATGTGATATCACTTTTTTTGCTTACCTCAAAGCGCTCATCTTCACATCTATATATATGCTCTTCATACTGGGTCTTTTTGGAGCTAACAAAGGTTGAGTCCTCAGACCAGGATGGAAATGACACCCATGTATCATTCAACACCTGCAAATTATTCAACATTAGCATAGGGCTGTCACAACATTAGATTTTCACTACATGATTATTGTGAGCCAAACTCCTCCCACACTGGAAACCTACATGATTTTTTTTTTGCAGCAAAAGCAGCTACAAATTGCATCTTTTTTTTCTACGGAGGATACAATACTGCCACATAACATGTTGGACTGTCAACCTGATGGATTATGTACAGTATTAGTGTATGCATAGTATTAAAGGGATAGTTGACCCAAAAATGAATTCTGTCATAATTTAAACAGTTGCCGGTAACCACTGAGGTACTATGGAAGTCAATGGCTGCTGGCAAATGTTTGATTATCAACATTCTTCAAAATCTCTTCTTTTATGTTCAACAGAAGAAAGAAAATCATACAGGTGTGGAACAACTAGAGGGTGATTAAATGATGACATGATTTTCTTTTTTGGGTGAACTATCCCTTTAACATTATATAAATATTACATTTTTTAAATACCGCAATTAGCATCAATGCCAGTATATTAGTATACCCCTACATTAGTACCTTTGCTACTATTCCCCATTTAATTTCATTAATCTGCTTTAGCATGGTGTATTCTTGTAACAGAGTTAATATTAGTGCCAAATGAGCCTTCAATCATTCTTTAATAAAACTATATGAATCAATGAAAAAGAGAAACAAAACTCTCTACAGCATAATTCCTAACAACTGAAAACTAAATTCAAAGAGCTGAAATAATCAAACCCTAAGCAAATGGGTACTCCATAGTACCAGTATACCATCAATCAATACCAGCTGCAAAATCTTTAGCTTGAGTGTTAAGCCTGCAAAACAAATAACTTAAAGTTGTACTAGGTGTGAAAGGATGGTGAACTCACCTCTTTGCACAGTGGAGTCCTGCCTGTACATCGAGGCTGCTGGAAGCTCTTGGGAAGGGCTCTGTAACTGGAGCCCAATCTTTTGCAGGACGCATAATCAATTTCCATTGCAATGCCTTCAGTGGCTCGCTCTTTGGGAAAGCTCTCAATATGGGCACACTCTCTGTAGCCAAGGAAGTTCTTGAACCATGTAAAAAGCTCAGGGAATTTCCTGATAATCAGAAAACGCAATAAAATGTCAGAACTAATGTAACTAATAGTTTTATTGATTTCTGATTTATAATTAATTAAATGAAATAATGGCTACATAAAAGCCTTTAAATCAGACTGAAAGTATGTCAATATGAAATTAAATTGAATTCCACTCACCCCAAAAATGGCAAGACCAGCTGCACAAGTTCAGCCCGTGAGATCACTTCTTGATTGAAGATGACCAAACAGCGTAAGAAATTGTCGTAAGCCTCTGAACTCCGCAGAGCTTTCCGCACCTGAGAAGGGAACAGTGTATAAGCCACATAACTCACTATAATCCTTGTAATATTTACTGTACCAACTTAATAGCGGTTATTTTTGTATTCCATTGCATTACTGCAAGACTATATTAAAAGCAATCACCTTTTCAAAAAAGAGAGATTCAGCACCAATTCCAAGTTTACTGGCTTCAGCCATCGAATGGTCTTTTCCCATAAATTTTTGCTTTTTCTGTTGAAGAGTTAAGAGGATGAATAATGCTGGTTGATAATACAATGTAAAAAAACCCCAGCAATTTTCAATGTTTTAATTTAATGTTTTCCTCAAAATTACCTTAACAGGGGGCGTAGTGGGCGGCCCTGGGTGTCTACGGATTTGACAGCCATTCTGATTAAACCTCTGCTTATTGTTCAGTTGAGGTCTCTTTACGGTCACCCCATGATCAATACGCACAGATTCAGCCTGCTCAGCTGTAGTCTTACTCAATAACTGAGGAGAAGAGAAAAAAGCAAAGTGAGTTCAGCGCTATGATTTTTAGATATTATTACCACAGATCTCAACAGACCAGATCTCAAAAACCTACCACTGAACTGTTAGCATCTGGCAGGAACTGGCCGAATTCTGAAAGAAGGTCCTCTTGGTTCTTGAAGAGCTGGGCCACCTGAGCATAGACCTGCTGCTCTGTGAGAGTGGGTGTGTAGTTTCCCCCTGCCTCCTTAGCATTACGCTGCTCCTTCTATACAACAAACAAAGCACGAGTTTACAATAAGCATGTAGCATAAAGGGCTGTCAACACACACCACTAAGGATGCACCGAATGTTTGGCCGAACCCAGAAAGAGCTTTTTTTTTGCTATTTTCAGCCGAACAATTTCGGTTACCGAACATTCGGTGCATCCCTAGTGGTATGGTTCAAGAACGTGGAATAAGTGAAAGGACCGAATAAATTGTACCGAACAATAACATGACTCGATCAAATAGACATGCACACTAATGCAGCAAACATGTCGGCAGTGTGGAAGCATTAAAAACTCTCTGCGAAAGACGTAAAAATCATTACAAGCAACGACAGTGGGTGACTGTTTAGTGCTGCATCTCAGGTCTCCGATGAGAAGGGGTGGTTTTCGCTGGTTACTGTAAGATGATTGAAATCAAGAAATGTCCTTATACAAATTTGTAAATAAACTGCAGAATGTTGTTTTGTAATACACGCACGAATTGCATCTATTCTGACTGCGCGGCATGAACTCGAGGTGATATCTGCCTGTTAGCCAGGGTTCAAAGTCCAAAGTGCAAGGAAAAATTGAGCTGGAACAGTGATACTCCTCAGTTGCTCAGTAACATTTTTTTTTTTAAAGGCATGTGACTGTGATACGTGCATCAACATCATTGACAAACATCATTAATAAATCTGCTGTTGTCAACAAAAAGCACTCTTCATTTTTTTTCCCCCAAAAAAGTTGATGTTGATGAAGTTCTTGCGGTTTCTCAGCGTTTAAGTTAAACTGTGCTTTGTTGGTATAATGTCTGCTAGAATGTTAATGTTAAGAATTAAAGGTGCACTAAGCAATATTTGAAAAACGCTTTTAACCACAGTCTCGGGCCGAGTCCCAAAACACACTTGTAGCCAATCAGCAGTAAGGGGGCGTGTCTTGTAATGATAGAGAAGAGAGCGCTCAATTTGTGTGCACAGGATGGATATTAGCAGATTGACTATAGATGGAGAGAGATGGCAGATAAAAATAAAATAAAAAAAAGAGGAAAATATCAGAGAAACAAAACATTAAAAAGAAGGGTTACGATCAGGCAAGAGGTAGGACCCGCGTAAAGAATTTTCATTTCGGTGCATCCCTACACACTACTGTTTAAAAATTTGAAGTTGGTAGGATTTATTAAATGGTTTTGAACAAAAATACAGTAAAAAACAGTAATGGTATTAGTCTTGCTGACCCAAACTTTTGATAGCGTACTTAGGTGAATAAAAAGGTTGGTTGTACTACACAGCGGTACAGAGCATTCTGACATACAGATACTGTCCTAGGTGCCTCAGCTCTCACCTGGTATGTGTGCAGAATTTCCAAGAAGGATTTGTAGACCTCTGGCTGGCCCTGAAAGCGGTTCTTGATTTTGTTCACATAGTTGATAGCGTGGTTGAACTCCACAGGCTGGTTGTTCTGCAGCGGGGTTGAACCGGCAGTGCTGCTGCTGATGGGAGTGTGGGACTGGACCGAGGGTGAGCGCGGGGAGGCGTACGAGGGAATGGACGGATTAGGCTGACTGGTTGGGGTAAGTGCAGGAGACTGCATTGGCTGTGGAACTGCATCTCAGGTCTCCGATGAGAAGGGGTGGTTTTCGCTGGTTACTGTAAGATGATTGAAATCAAGAAATGTCCTTATACAAATTTGTAAATAAACTGCAGAATGTTGTTTTGTAATACACGCACGAATTGCATCTATTCTGACTGCGCGGCATGAACTCGAGGTGATATCTGCCTGTTAGCCAGGGTTCAAAGTCCAAAGTGCAAGGAAAAATTGAGCTGGAACAGTGATACTCCTCAGTTGCTCAGTAACATTTTTTTTTTTAAAGGCATGTGACTGTGATACGTGCATCAACATCATTGACAAACATCATTAATAAATCTGCTGTTGTCAACAAAAAGCACTCTTCATTTTTTTTCCCCCAAAAAAGTTGATGTTGATGAAGTTCTTGCGGTTTCTCAGCGTTTAAGTTAAACTGTGCTTTGTTGGTATAATGTCTGCTAGAATGTTAATGTTAAGAATTAAAGGTGCACTAAGCAATATTTGAAAAACGCTTTTAACCACAGTCTCGGGCCGAGTCCCAAAACACACTTGTAGCCAATCAGCAGTAAGGGGGCGTGTCTTGTAATGATAGAGAAGAGAGCGCTCAATTTGTGTGCACAGGATGGATATTAGCAGATTGACTATAGATGGAGAGAGATGGCAGATAAAAATAAAATAAAAAAAAGAGGAAAATATCAGAGAAACAAAACATTAAAAAGAAGGGTTACGATCAGGCAAGAGGTAGGACCCGCGTAAAGAATTTTCATTTCGGTGCATCCCTACACACTACTGTTTAAAAATTTGAAGTTGGTAGGATTTATTAAATGGTTTTGAACAAAAATACAGTAAAAAACAGTAATGGTATTAGTCTTGCTGACCCAAACTTTTGATAGCGTACTTAGGTGAATAAAAAGGTTGGTTGTACTACACAGCGGTACAGAGCATTCTGACATACAGATACTGTCCTAGGTGCCTCAGCTCTCACCTGGTATGTGTGCAGAATTTCCAAGAAGGATTTGTAGACCTCTGGCTGGCCCTGAAAGCGGTTCTTGATTTTGTTCACATAGTTGATAGCGTGGTTGAACTCCACAGGCTGGTTGTTCTGCAGCGGGGTTGAACCGGCAGTGCTGCTGCTGATGGGAGTGTGGGACTGGACCGAGGGCGAGCGTGGGGAGGCGTACAAGGGAATGGACGGATTAGGCTGGCTGGTTGGGGTAAGTGCAGGAGACTGCATTGGCTGTGGAAAATAAAATTAATTTAGACAACTTTGCAAATGTATTACCCAAATATGTGCAAAGGAGAAAACATCTCAGTTTTACCTTGCTGATCTTGGCAGGGGTTGGCTGGCTAGGGATGACCAAGGCTGCAGTGCTGGTGGGAGCTGCTGTTTGGGTCTGGTGCTGCGCTGGCTGTGTTATGGGAAGGTTTTGAACAGAGATACCATGCGGGGTGATGTGGTGGATCTGGCCGGGAGTGGTCACATTAACCAGATCATTGGTCTGAACCTCAATCTTGTAGCCAGGAGGCAGGAAGGTGTTGAAGCCCATGATGAGGTCTGGATGGCCCTTGAAGAGCTGGGAGACTCTGCTGATCACACCTGGTGTATCAATGCTGACAACAAAAGGACGGTGCATTTATGGTATTTGATTTGCAGTTTCCTTGAGTTCAAGAACACATGATCATAAAAGTGCTTGCAAGAAAAGCACTGTATGGATATTCCTTTCTCCTAAATTCTTAACACCAAGTATTAAAGATCTGCAATTAAAACCACTCCATTAAAACATTTGTAATCATTATTGCTTATTATTTAATTTTAACATGATAATTAAGTTTAGTTTTTGTATACTTTATACTCTAGAAATGTAATGCTGAAAATGACAAAATCTCCCATTTACTAACACAACGATTACTGGCCATTAGGGCTGGGCAAAAAAAATGGATTTTCCGATTAATCGTTTTTTTAAATGACGTCGATTCGATATCGATTCTCAAAAGCCGCGAATCAAGCTTTTCCAGTATTTATTTCAGCACACATTTAAAACAAGATCTGATTAACGTGAATCTTATCATTAGTCTTATCCACTAGATGTCACCTTTATTTACCTTGTACGATGTTACAACAGAAATCCTGTCATTCATTCAGCACTTATCATGGCCATACGCGCAATTGGCAATGCTCAGGTGAAATGCTATAGTAATACTATAAATCTGTGGAAGCATTTGATATCACACATATGAATAAATGGTGGATGGTGCAGTGCACTTTTTTGTTTACTACATGCATACTAAAGCGCGGATGACGCTCGCGGTGTTTTCAGCTTCTGCCGTCTCACTATATGATGATATGAACACGAATGTCATTTCCAGCTGCTCTGAGAGTCACTTCATTAGCATTTACCGTTTCATTTGAGAAATCTACCGTCATATCACATATACAGCAGCTGGAAGTTCTTCACGGCAACCCGTCAAACTAAAAGTTTAGTTTAACGTTCTACTGTGAGAATATATTACTATTTAGCAGTCTTAAGACTCAACGCTACTACTGCTAATAAATATTAATAAATCTTGATTTTTAAAAGGAATAATCACATCGGTTTTCTTTTTAATTTTAACAGTAAACCTCTGTTGTGCAGCACTTTGTTTGCCAAAAAATAAAAGGGTTTAATTTTCATTTGATTAGGATAAATTAAATTAATATTTCATGCCTTCATCTGATTACCAGAAAAATTAACAACATTTTATAGGGCCCTATTATTGTTTAAAAAAGGACCCTATACAAAAAAAAAAAAGAATAGGTTTAAAATACAGGCATGTGGTTCTTAATTTATTTTTATTAATTCACCATTTGTAAACTGATGTTTACTGTTCATTTTTTAGAAATATCAATAGCATTTGTATTAAAACTATATTCACTGAATGTAATAAAAAAAAAATCAAGAATCGAATCGAATTGAGCTTGTGAATCGAAATCGAATCGGGACATCTCAATCAATACCCAGCCCTACTGGCCATTACAGAGCGATTTGTGACTCTCTTACATCTATGTGCATATTGATTAGACTTTCTAGGACCTATTTTAGGGCCCTATGAAATCAGTTTTATTTTTTTCCTAAATTTAATTTTATTTGTTTCCAAATTCTGTTTGTTTGTTTTTTTCATTTTAATTTTTCTGGACTCCTTTTTAAATGTTTAAATGAATTTTTATTTAACTGAAAATCACAAAACTTATACAATTTAACATCAATTTATTAAAAGTTTAACAAAAATAAAAATTTTAGGGGCCTATGAAATATATTTTATTGTTTCTCACGTTATTTGTTACCAAATTCTGTTTAAGCATGTCTAATTATTTTAATGCATAAAAACAACTCAATTTATTAAAAAATAATATTTTTTACAACAGCCCTATTTTATGCCCCTATTTTTTTCTGGTTATCAAATTTAGGCATAACATATTTATTTAATTTATCTTTCAATCAAATGTATTTAAATTGTATGTAATGTAATGTATGTTAATATTAAATTCTTTATTTTTTTAGTAACAAAGGGTTTTTCTATTAAAATTAAAACATGGAGGAAATGGCCTATTGTGTGAATAACCCTTTTTATTTTTTTTAAGTTTTCATTTTTGTAGTAGTAGTAGTTGTTGTAGTATAAGGTATGTTCTACTGTACCACAGTGATATATTCCTGACAATTTATTTTTCTTATTTTGACGGGTTGCCATGAGGGCCTTTTAAGTTTCTGTGTGTATATGATATGACAATAGTTTTAATAGTTTTAAATGAAACTGCAAAATGCTCATGAAGTGACTCCCAGAGCAGTTCTGCGGATGTTGTTCATGTATTTATGTCCTCATTTGGTGAGACGGCAGACGCTGAAAACACCCAAGGGCCGGTTGCATCAGCTGGACGTATACCCGGTTGTAATACCACACTGGATGTAAATTTGCAAAAAAGTCGTGCATAGAATTAATACCTGTTGCACAATCTATGCGTAGTGCTACGTCTGAGACTAAATCTTATGCCTAGTCAAAGGTAGGTGTAAAGTCATGATTTGCTCGTACAATATTAGTTTTAGGATTCATGTATGCTAATTATTACTGCAGACGTCAATTGTAGTAATGTTTATGGCCTTTTCAGGCAGGATATGCGATATTAATCACGAAGCTCGGTGTAGCTGCTGCCGAAAGTTATCGAACTAACACAATTTTCTGTAGGCTATGTAATTATGCAGTGAAATATTATGATCTGAGATTATTACAAAATAAATAAAAAAAACTGTACCATTCGTCATCTTGCTTGGTACAAATGCTTTAGTGCTATCAAACGATTAATCGCATCCAAAATAAAGGTTTTTGTTTACATAATATATGAGTGTGTACTGTGTATAATTATCATGTATATATAAATACAAACATGCATGTAAATATTTAAGAAAAATATGTTATGTTTATGTATTAAATATATTTATATATAATATAATAATATAAATATATAAATGTATATACATATAAATATTTTCAAAATGTGTGTATTTATACATAAACACAGTACACATACAAATATTATGTACAAAAAAAAGATCTTGCGATCACGATGAATCGTTGGACAACACTAAATTGCTTGGAAATATTTCACGTCTTTAAGTCCATTCATTAGGCTATTTAGCGTGCCATCCAATAATCGTAGTAGCCTAAGTTTAGTGCTTTGTTACCTTTAATCAGAAATAAAGTATCAGCTTTCCAATTCTATCAATTGTATTACAAAATACAAACTATAAATGTGTTTATATAAAAAGTGTGAACAATGTCATGTAAAGTCATATTTACGTCAGGAAAGACATTCATTGTACATAAACTCCACAGTCAGCTAGAAAAAAAGTGAGCTGCTGTCACTGGAATGTTCAGACATAAAAACACGTAATTGTTAGGAAATGTTTACTCAATTAAATCATGGAGCGGTGGTTTCACTTGTTATGATGTATTGAGCAATTCAGTTCTTCATTATTGTAGTTGTAGCCATTGCGATGTGAATGTCGTCTCAGCTGTCACTGCGGGAGAATGTGTCGATCAGGTGCAACTATGCCCGGCGTAGACGATGGACGTCCACGCCGGGCATAGTTGCACCTGATCGTAGTTTTAGTTGGTGCAACAGGAGTACATATTTATCGTAAAGCTGGACGTTGCAAAGCCCAGCGTAGGACTTACACCCAACTTTTTTACGTCTAGCTGGTGCAACTAGCCCCAGAGCATCTCACGTGCTTCAGTATGTGTTTAGTAAACAAAACCACTCGTCTGTACCACTCATTCACATAGAGACAAGCAGAACATGCAGGATTCATACTTAAATAGTCTTTTTGTGGTTTAAAATTTACAGAAACTAGTCCATATCGTGATTTGATTCAAGTGTAATGACCTACTTTTGATTAATTCATCCAAACTTTGACAAATTCCGTGAAATTCTGCATTATGTCCACTGTCTGCACGGAAGCCACAACCAAAGCTGCCGCTTCTCTCAACTGTCAAATACCGCTACAACCAGAATGGATGCTCCCTCTAGCAGCTCAATACACAACCATACATGTTTATAATATACAATATGATGAAGGCAGAACTAGCTAGCAAACTGTAGGCTGTAGTAACTAACGGTAATGACAGTAACCCGCAACTGAGCGGGCAAACCACTGATGCTAATGTGCTCTAGTTAATTATAGTGTTAGAGGAGGGGCCATGCTCAGTGCATCAGAGACATAATTTCAGGCCCACTCAAAAAAAATTAAACAAAAAATGGTGGAAAAACTGTTTAATTTAACTCCACAATTTAGTACAACATAGTTCAGTCTTTACGACGTGTTTTCAGCAATGCATTTCTAACATTTACAATGTGTTTAAAAGCGATTCTCTAAATTGCCTTTACACAGACCTTAAAAAAGCTTGCGTTTATCTGCTTGACTGCTTCCACTTTTAAATGCAACACACACAACTCAAAACCTAATCAACAACCTTATTTGCAACTCTATTTAACCATATATATATACACCTTAAAGGTGCGGTCACATTTAAAGTAGCTCAGTGAAATTTTCAGGCAATGTCTAGCAATACTAATAGGAATTCATGCAACTTGGAGTTTTGCGAAAGCTGATTGAAAGTAACTTCTGTGTGAGCAGCACTTTATACATCACTACACTCTGCATAAATTTGGTAATGTGACTGTGACCTCATCACTGTCACAAAAACTGTTGCGCTTTGTTGGTTCTCACACTCAAGACGAATACTGAGTGTAATGAGCAGCTCTAATTTAACATTAATTTACTCAAAAGCCTGACACTTTAAAATACTATACTTTGCTGCCTTGCAAAGCATTTGTACTTTCATCTGGAAATGCAGAACATTTGGAAGCAAGAAAATAATTCATCAGTAATTCAGAAAGGAATTGTAAAAGAAAATAACAAATAAAGTACTGCACACAGGTATGATTACTGTTCTTTCAAGATAAATGAAGAATTACTCGCTTCAATGCTTGGCCTACTGGCACAAACAATACCTCTCCTCTATCACTGACAAAGAAAGAGGGGCCAGAGCACAAGAGCAGTCACAAGCACGTACAAAGACAGGTTAAGTGTCTCTCTCAGCTACCTTGGCCGAGGATAAAGTCCCAAGGGAGCTCACCAAAACTAGACCAACCCATTCGAGGTGTGGAGCTAGACCGAACTAGAAGGGACAGAAACAAAAAAAGCCCCAAGAACAAAAAATCTAACAAAAACAAAACTCAAACTGACCTTTGAGACTTGAACTCTTTCATGATATCCAGGAAGTCATTGTAGACCTGCGGCTGATTGCCAAACTGAAGTTTAACTTGATCCAAATAGGAAAGAGCATCTTCAACCTGAAATTACATACATCTCCGTTCTCAATCCATCTAAATTAAGGCAGATAATTCCCTTGCTCTTCTAAACAGATCTCTTACCTTGAGCCTTTGAAACTGCTGCTGACCCAGTGTTGGGGCAGGGGCAGGGGCAGGGGTAGCATGAGAGTGACCCTGGCCCACAGGCTGGACAGCTGGCCCATGGTGATGAGGCCCACTGTGCACAGCTGAACTGCTGGTATGTCCATGTCCACCAGAACTCTGGGCCATTGACAACTGTTAGAGGAGAAGGAGAAATGGTTAATTATCAGGACTGCTTACATAAAGTGAAATGTCACTTCCCTTTAAACACTATGTGATGAATTCTCAATCTTACAAGTTTCATTATATTCCAAAATGTGCTTTAAATAAATTAAATAAACATAGCTTTGCTAAATTTGTCAGCTTTTGGGCCAAAGAAACACTTTATGGAGAAAAAAAAAACACTCACTCATAGCAAGTTTCCTGCAGCTTTTGACCAATGCATTTCTGTGAATTTTCCAGTCATTCATAATTACTGTACAAGTACTTTTTTATTTCTTTACAGAAGTTGCACTCACAAACCACAATTTCTTGCAAGTTAAATCTTTAATCCCCCCCACAAGCACAACAAATATCAGATGAAGTGAGTCGTACTGTTTTTATCCACTTTTACCTTTAATATTTGGTATGTCCACCTTTTGCAGCAATTACAGCAGTACATCTCTCTGGCACAGTGTCAATATATTTCCTGACAACTTCAACACTAATGTTACCCCATGCCTTCTGCAACTCAAGCCAAAGGCTTTCCTCTGAATGTACAATAGATCTGTCCAGTTTATTTTCCAATTGGCCCCAAATTAGCTCGATAGGGTTGAGGTCCGGACTATGGGGGGGGGGGGGGGGGGGGGGGCAGTCCATCATTTAAAATGTTCCATCAGATTCCTTCTGTTCTGATTGTATGGGTATTGTAATGGCCAATTCAACAAAAACAACTGAAACCTCTTAAATATTCCAAGTGTTCTTAAAATTTTGTCCACTGTATATACATATATTCTGTAAATAAAGTTAAAGCTCTATTATTTTATATTTATGTTTATTTTTAATATTTAATACATAAAAACAAAGACATATTTACCAAAATAATGCAAAACTGTTGTAGGATATCAGACACTTTCTCTCTTTCTGCAACTTGTGTGTTAGATTAGTTTATATGTCTTAGATTTATCCAATAAAGCCTTATTTATATTGAAAAGAGAAGTATCTTGTGTTTTGTGCTCACAAGTTAATGTCTTAAACTGCCGATCTTGTTACATGTGCTAATTAATAGCGTTTTCACTATATTTTGGATATAAATATCCATTGCAGAATTGATGTCATACGGCTCGTTCACTGACTCGCTGTCCGTCTCAGTGATCAACCGTAAAACAGTGATTCTGTCCTAATTCCCTTACATATTAATGGTGGAGTTCCCTTTAAAATCTTAAATGATTCCCTTTGAGCTAAATTGACCTGTTTCCCTTACACTGTTGATGACTTTTATACCTGATAGGTCTGCGAGACAGAGTACTGCATGCTGGACGATGGCTGCATGTTGTCTGGTGCAGTCTCGTAGAGGGAGGAGGCAGTGTTGAGGACGCAGTGCTGAAAGCTGTCCACACCCCCAGGGAGCCGCCGCTGAGAGCCGATCACTGTGTCCTGATCCTCCAAGCGCCGCTTCATTATGTACTCATGCTCCTCACTGCGGCGGAATCTACAACAATCAAATCGCAAATATTCATATGAAAGTTACTGCTAAATATACATACACTCCCAGACAAAAAGTTGGACACACTTGACTGAATTCATGTTTCTTATGATCTTAAACAGTTTGGAACAACATGATGGTGAGTAAAATACCAAAAGTTTGGGTTAACTATTCCTTTAAAAGCCAAAAACATTATTATTAAAATAATTAAGAAATTAGTTTTGTAGACAAATACATGTATTCACATATAAATGCGTTATTCATTCAAAATATTAGAGAAATATAGAAGCTCAATGCACAGAAGATCTTAAATGTGTTAAAACCGAAACAAGCCATTCACACAGAACGCATATTCAGCACATTTTTTAGATGGACAAATATGAATGCTGCACTCGCGTCTCACAGAAGAGATGTATAGAAAGCCATGCAAAGTTAAAACGGTTTAAACTTGAATTTGTGGAGGTTTATTCCTTTTCACTGCGTCTCATATGTTTTTAAATGCAGTCTGTGTGATGGGCGCTTCGGCTCTTTGGATTAAGCAATGCATAAATACATGATGCTGTTTTGTCATAATTGTTTATGCAATTTACAAAATTATATTTCATTTTTATGAGTTAATTTAGACGTAATGCACATTTTTATAGAGTTACTTCCTTGCGTTGACAATTTAAATGTGCTGCATTATTTTGCTCATTGCGCCCTCCTGTGGCCTCGGGAGACAATTAGACCTATACAATAAAGACCTATTTAATCTGCATATAAAACATTAGAAATTAGATTTGTAAAATTTGTATTTTGTTTGATTGTTAAAACAAAAAATTTGTTGTTTGTCTTAATAAATTGTGTTAATTATAAATACAGTGTTTAAACAAACAAAAAATTATTGCTTTTTGCTATAAAAAAAGGTTATAAACAAATGTCAATAATTATCGATACCGAACGATATGAAACATTATATCGTTGATAAACTTTTTAGCTATATCGCCCAGCCCTACTCTAAAACATAAGATAGTTTTAATTTGTTCACTATTTTGTCACTGGACAATTTTCAAATTTCCATGTGTGCAATTTTATAGTTTGAAAATTTGCCAACATTGAATGCATAAATAATGGACATACTCTTTTTGGATGAATAAGGCTTATTCATTTCTTACTACTACTACTGGTGTGTCCAAAGTTTTTGGCATTTGTTGTCTACAAATCAGTTTATACTATATAACTGGTTTGGCTTAAGAAAATTTGTACCGTTTTATTGATGCATAATAACCCAAAAGCGTTTAAATCCCACATTGTCTTGAAAAATGCCCTTTACGTTGCACAAGGCTTAATTTCTAGAAAATAAATAAACCATATAAATTAATTAAACAGTTACCTACATGACATTATATTATAAAACCAATACTAAAATGTTCAGAACGGACAGTCCACGTCAAGCTCTGACTACAGTCATTGTAAGTTATGGAGCTGAACAGTTCGGTCAAGAGGAGAAAATCATCAAGACCCCATAGATTAACACTTTCCCCGTCTTTTACAAGAAAACGCTTCCCCGCCAAAGACGAGTTTTTACGGCTTTCCGTGTTTTCACTGTTATACACTCGGGGGAGCTATTACGGATCTTCTGAACGAGTACAAAACCTCCCGAACAAAAACACACGTGAACAGGACGGAGAAACGAGCGACCTCTTATGTAAACAGATGCATATGAAAAATAATGCGATCATCAGCAATAGACAGCATATATATGAAAACGGCATAATGTTACAGAGTAAAATGTTGATCCAGGAAGTGGTATATGTCTGTGCAAGCTTTGGAGGTGTTGATGGAAGCGATTTACAGGATTTATGCTATGATAAACGTACTGAATATTATCCAGATGTAGTTTTTGATAAAAATGTCACTCACCTTTTTGCTCAAATTTATGAATTGTTTATGAAACCTACCTATATTCAAGTGTTGATAAAAAAAAAGAATGCTTTAAGTTAGAATAAAACAGATTTTTTTTTGTTTAACGGTATCCAAAAGCATGGTCGCGATGTAACATTTTCCAGCTAACCAATTCCAGTAATAAACAAATCTTTTATACAACACTTGTCATAATCAGAGCTTATAATTTGTAAATAAATAATTGCTGGATTCAAAACAGCAATTAAAAGGCACTGTGACCAACACTGACTATACGTTTTCCCGGAGCATTCAATGATGTCTAAATGGTGATGCCACAACTAAGAGCATCGTTCACAAGTTTCTGCATGGACCCAACTAGCCTAGGGCACAGGTTTTCAAGCCCTGGGACAAAATGGGATGCTTTAAGGAAAATGTATAGCCTATGTAAGCAATAGGCCTAAATAAAAATAA